GCAAAAACAAACAATTATTTAAAATGTGGTTCAAGAATGGACATACTTGGAAAAATTGGTCTGGTAATCAGAAATGTACCCCCGAAAAAATTTTTCATCCTGCAAATCTACAAGATCTCAGAGAAGTGGTGATACAGGCAAAAGAAAATAAGAAAAAAATTCGGTGCGCTGCCTCCGGACATACCTGGAGTAGTTTAAGCGTGACATCGGGATATTTGGTAGTTGTTGATAATTTAAATGCGATTGAAATCAAATTTAACGAAAAATTGGATAGCTGGACGGTCAGCGTCGAGGCTGGTATGTGTTATCGCAGTCAAGATATTTGTGACAAAATAAATTCTTTATCAACCAACTAACTAAATATATACTGTATATATTATTTTGTGAAATTCTAAAGGTGTCTACCTGAAAAATCTTGACAAGGCACTCAGGAGCCACGACCCTCCGTTGAGCATGGACTCAAGCGTTGTATTAAACACCGTAACTGCCGGTGGTATTGTGGCGACCGGGTGTCACGGAGCAAGATGTAGTAATTCTAATATTCCGGATAAAGTTGTGTCATTTCAGATTGTTACAGCTGATGGCGAATTACGTGAATTTTCTGATGACATTGATGAAATTGAAATGAGCGCCGCCAGGGTTAACTTAGGTACGTGCAGATTTTATTTCATAAGAAAGCACCGGAAACATCATTCATCATTTAATATAAGAATATACTTACGCACAGGTCTTTTGGGAATAATTTATAAATTAACATTTATTGTGGAACCGATGTTTAAGCTAAGAATGATCGATATTATAGAGCCAATGTCATCAATTTGGAATTCACCCAGCCTTAAGTCCCTAGTCGACTCATCTGATTCCATTGAAGTGTTTTATTGGCCGTTTAACTCTTCAGGTCTCAAACCGGAGAATGATAAAATCTGGATAAAGCAATATTTGCGCACGATGGATATGCCTACCGTGGATGCCGTTGAAGAAAAAACGAAACAAGTGTTTCAGTCTCATGAATTAGAATTTGGAGACTATTTATACGATTTTATGGCTAAGGAACCAAAGTCTACGCCATTTTTGGATCATCTTTTGTTCACCACTGCGATTAATCACCAAGCCGATCAAATCCTGGAAGCACCCGATGCTATTCATTGGCAGGTAAACGCAATGCATTGTTTATTGTAATACAGTAATAATTATTTTATAGTAACCATTTGTTTATTCGTTCCCAATACGAAGGCTGGGATTGACGCAATAAAATGCCAGGATTTAGAATTTGCTATTAAGCTTGACAAAGAATTCAAGATTGCCATTGAAGAGGTCAACTATATAATCTCGAGGGTAAAGTTATTTCCACATTAGTTTGCAAGTAAATTTTCTTGATTTATTATAGCTCACTTTCATTTATTTAGATCTACGAATACGCAGCAAAAAAAATATACCCGCTGAATTTGTCCGTAGAGTTTAGAATCAACAAATCCTCTCAAAATCTTCTTGCCCCAACATACGACCCCGATCCTAATGCATACTTTATCCTCATTGAAGTACTCTCTGTTAATGGAACCGAACACTTTCAAGAGTTTTCAATAGAACTTGCTAAGCGATGGATGGAACTTTATGATGCCAGACCACATTGGGCAAAGTTGTGGGAACACGTACCCGAAATCATACCATATATTAAAAAGCACTTGGGAGAGAGGGGAAAGAAATTCGAAAATATTAGGAATAAATATGATCCAGAACAAATGTTCTTTGATAACAAGAGTTTAAAAGAAATTTTACTAGATTGAAGGAAATATTACTGAGATCAGAGGAATAATTTATCGTAAACTCAGTTATAAATTTACATATTTAAGCCTATTCATAACTTTGATTTAATAACAGATTATGAAAAGCATTCAACTATAAATAAATCACTGCGCCCATAAATTTGGTAATTGCGCTTTTATCTTTTTAAAATTTTATATTTTCAATATACGGATCAATGTACGTCTGTAAATACAGCATTTCCATAATAATAAATAAATAGTTATCGAAAGACTAACTTCTAATAAAACCGTTGTTAAAAATTTTGTTTACGATAA